TTGCACATGAGCTCATAATTGTATAAAATCAGATAAACAAGCCGAATATGACAGTTGAGCGACCGTGCTAGAACCACGGAACTCGGGAATGCCTAACACCTTCTCCCGGGTTAACAGAATTCCTTATCCGGATTTCTGGTGCGCAGACTGTAATATGGAGTCATTCTTTTCCTCGATTCAGGATTAAATTGGTGACTTGGGACACCCTAAATCTCCCAAGTGGCGACTCTGAAATAAATAAACAAATCCCGTTTCGATTGTCCTTTAATTGGAAAAACTCTCTTCACCCCTCGCGGGGGCGGAAAAAGGAGGTGTGACACCTACTATGACTAAATTACCCCTAATTAAATATTTAATGTGAGGAGTAAGAAAAATTTCAGGGATATGTACATAGGAGTTATTTTATAAAAACAGATTGAATTCTTTCTTGATTACATAACTGAACATTTATTTTGAACCAAAATGAAAAAGCAAATTGGTCACTTATCGTGAACCGGAAAGAGTACCAAATTAGAAGTCATCTTCAACCCCTGCAAGTCATGGATTATGACCAATTTGACTAATACTTTAAAATGAGAAGAGGAGAATGTGAAACGGGGTATTGACACGGCGTAAGTGACCGCCCCAGAAAGAGTTTAAGTTATATACATTATTGTCAGTGTGAAAAGCTCAAGTTAAACGATGTTTTACCTGACTAATGTGTACAAAATGCATAACCAACTATATATTGTGTAGATTTGACCATTTAGTCTACTAAAATATTTTTATTTAGTACCAAATAAGAAGTCATTTTCAAGCCTGCATGTCATAGATTTGCACCAAATTTAACCAATACTTTAAAATGTGAGAAGAGGAGAATGTGAAATAGGATACATAACATGAGTTTAAGTTATATATACTGAAAAAAAATTACACTATTAAATCATTCGAAGCATATTAAATATTAATATTTGCATATATAAGTCTTCTTAAAATGTAGGATATAAAAAATTCTTTACAAATAATAGGTAAAATGAGACCTAATGGTCTAAAAATTCTTTACACTGAGGTATATAACTTAAAATCTCTCAAAAAAGCCTTTCTGAGTTGGACATATCTGCCTAATTGATGCTAAAGAAAGCTAAATCTACATGGTTGATAAATTATTAAGAACGAATTAATACAAATCCAACAAAAAAGATATCATTTTGTACAGTAATAGATTTTAAATTGCCTGAAGAAACTTTTTTATAGTATTATTTTAGGTTTTTTAACATGTCCCCTAACACGACAACCTGATTATTTTGTTTGAATCAATCACACGGATATACATTAATAAGTAACTGCATAACTCGAACTAAAGAGTAAAGATTTCTATATATTCTAATGTACAACGTTAATTATGTCCTTTATTCCATTTTATGTGATATAATTTTCTTTTTAATGTAAAAAAATAAAATATTTCTATAATTAAAAATATTTTTCTTTCAACTTTTATATTTTATACTTAATGACATGATTTTATTTCAATAGAAATGTCTATATCGTGTTTCTTAATTAAAAAATTTTTCTTTCTTGAATTTCACATAAAGATAAAACGGAGAAAGTACATAGATAAAATTATCTAAAATTTACTCTTTTCTTAGATTGTGTGCTTATTAAATAAAGAGATAATATGATTCGGATCATGACCCGCATTCTCTTAGACTTTGTCTGGTGAATTCCCATCATAGAGACCAAACCACTTTTGTGTACAAATGGCGGTGAGTGGTGGCAAACTGGGGCTGGGGGTGGAGGATTTTTAGTTCTCAAGGTATAGCTAACATAATTATTTTTTTATAATATGTCATTATTCTGTCGCTAAATAAAATTGACGACGAATTTTTCTATTTTGCAGTGGAGGTTAAGTATTCTTTTATCTTTAATTAAAATATTAAATCGTCTTTATTAGAAAATATTTTAATTATAATATAAGACTTTTCAGAATATATTCGAATTAGTCGACCTCCTATATATAAGTACCGAGTACACGAGAAACCAAAAAACAAACTCAAAGGGACAAGCTGAAAATAAATGTCCGTGAAGGACGTGCAAATTCTTTTACTATTACTTGCCCTCGTTGACTTTTGAATTTCCATTGTTTTATTCTTAAATTATTATAAGGATTTTGGTTTTTCTTTATTTGCATGCTTTCATCCCCTACACGTCATTGGTTTCATCTTTTTCTTCAAAAAAAATATTTCCACATAATTAACAAATTAATCGAAAAGGCTCATCAACTTAGTAGTAGAACAATATAATGTCACTAAAATTTGAACTCGCAATAAATACAATTTAAATTTTAACCACTTATCAACGAAATACCGACGCTATAGATAGTTTCATGAATTCATCCCTGCTAACTGTAAAGTTCATGAGAATAGTGTGATAAAGCAATACTTTCAATTGGAAAAGATGTTTGGTTGTTAGGGACCTTTCTCGGTTGAGTATCGTCCTTTACTAACACATAATAATAATAATAATAATAATAATAATAATAATAATAATAATAATAATAATAATAATAATAATAATAATAATAAAATTTAAAGAAATAAAAGAAATTCTCGAAACAAAAGTAATGAAGATAAAATTAACGTGGCCACCCGGTGTTAAAGAAAGTATAAAATTTACCCGCACATGGTATTTATTCCGAATCAAATAAAGGTGAGGTTTTGGGTTTGAGCTATTAGTATATATGAAGTCACATTTATTAGAGAGTGTTTAACCCCCTCTCCCTCCTCCTCCAATGTGGGACTTTCCGGCACGAATTCGAATTTAACTGGATTCCAATGTAAGTACCGGGTATCGAGGGGAAACAAAAAAGACTTTACACTTTTACTTATGGGAACTAAAATGTTTTCTCAATGCCAGACAAAAGTCCTAAAGTAGCAACTTGCAAATTCGTGAAAACTGTATTTTAGTCTTGTTCAATATCAACTCTTCTTTACTGACTTGATCAAACTTAACCTAACCCCACTACAAAATCGTTATGAGCCAATTTGACTTTGAAAAGTGGGGTCTTATATAATTATATAATTTTGGTCCTTTAAGTTTGCTTAAGGTGAACACTTTTAATATCCATCAAATATTTAACAGATTCTGACAGTTAGATTAAACAAAAGCTGGAAAAAAAAAAAAGATTTAACAGGGACAAATATTAAATATCAAACCCATATAGGGGACACCCCGCGCAAATTTTCTTTTACTATACAAAAATATACTTTTTTTTCTTACTTGTCTATTTTAGTAAATCAAGAGACTTTTTTTTGTTTAACCATTCTCATTAACTACTGATTTTCCAAAAAAAAAAAAATCAAATTTTTAAAAATGCTATCATTTTTATGGTTGCTATGGTAAAATATATAATTTATTTATTATTTTTAAGAGGAGTACAAAGTTGATTCTAAAGTAATAATATCTTGGATCAAATTTATTGGCTAAAGTGAATGATAAAAAGAATCGGAGGAGGAAGTAGTGAATAATATTTCATCTATTTCAATTGATGCAATGTAGTTTGATGTGCCATGATGTTTAAGAAGAATAAATCACTATTGAAACTTATGGTCTTGCAGTGAGATTATTTTTTATTATAAAAGTATGCCATCAAAGATAAAACAAGAATTTTAAACTTAAATTGTATTTAAATATAAAAGACAATTCGGTACACAGAGTATCCCGTATTCACGCAGGTTTCAGAAAAGGATCACACCCCTAAAAATGTGATGTAGATCGCTTACCTTAATGCAAGCACCACTGGCTACTAAAAGCTTAATTCTCTTTTAACTATTTACATTAAAAAAAATAGTGTCACATCATAAAATGAGAGAGTACATCTTTTTGTTGGACGAAAACAATACTAAGTGAGCGTGTGGACATAAGAATTTTAAAATTTCGGGGAAAAAGGTGAAAAGAAATTTTAAGTGAAAATGATATTTGAAAAATAGAGTTGTGTTTGAATATGAATATAATTTTAGGTTGTTTTTGAATTTTTGTGAGTGATCTGAAATGAAAACAACAATCCAATAAAATCGCACCAGTGAGGTCTGGCGATCTGAAATGAAAATTTTGAAAAATAGCTTTTTGAAGTTTTTAAAATTTTCAAATAATTCCGAAATTCATCTTCAAGTGAAAATCAAAAGTTTCATGGCTAAACACTAATTTCGAAAAAAATCTTTTGGTGTGGTCAAACGGGCCCTAAAAGTGAATTTTGAAGGAAAAGACAATATAAAACCCATAAAGAAAAAAAACGCGGAGGCTTTGGGAGTGGGAAAACGAACGAGACGTAGTGGTGATCTAAAAGAATACCATATTTCCCTTTCCCTTTTCCTATCAAACAATTACTGCACAAATATCTCAAAAAAAGATGAAAACTACCAAAGTTCCCATAAATGTCCAAATATATCTGTAGAGAAGTACAAAAAGCTAAGAAATAGCCAATTCTTGTAGTCAACAATGAGAAACATTAATAGCAAAAAACACCATTTTTACCAATATTGCTTCTTCTCACTTCTAATTTCACAAATTCTTCTACCAATTCTTGCATTACCAACTGATACAATTACTACTACAAATCCCCTTACCATAAATCAAACCTTAGTCTCAAAAGAAAAAAAGTTCAAATTAGGTTTCTTTAATCCAGGTGGTCCAAATTCAGACAAATGGTATATAGGAATATGGTACAATGAAATTCAAGATTCAACTATTGTTTGGGTTGGTAATAGAAACAACCCTGTAACAAATTCATCATCTCATTTTTTAAAAATTAGCCAAAATGGAAATCTTGTTTTAGTTGATGGAGCTGGAAATTCTATTTGGTCAGCAAATCAAGAATCTGAAACTACGGCGAAAAACACAGTAATTGCTCAGCTTCTTGATTCTGGAAACCTTGTTGTTCGACATGAGAATGATGAAAATGAAGAGAATTATTTATGGCAGAGTTTTGATTATCCTACGGATACTTTATTACCAGGAATGAAACTTGGATGGGATATGAAAAGTGGGTTAAATAGGAATATAACATCTTGGAAATCTCCATTTGATCCAGCTTCTGGAAATTATACATTTAAACTTGATATAAATGGATTGCCAGAAGCTTTTTTGACAAATAAAGATGATATTTTTTATAGAAGTGGACCTTGGAATGGAGTTGGATTTAGTGGTGTTCCTGAAATGAAACCAACTGAGATTATGGCATTTGAGTTTCAAATGAAGAAAGATCAAGTTTACTACACATTTCAGGTACGTCAAGCACGTGAAAATTCTTTTTTTAATAATGGCTGGTGATGAGATTCGAACTTAGGACATCGTATGTCTGCTCTGATACCATGATTAATTGTGTGATTGTTTTTTCTGAAAGTTTGCGTTGTTAGAGAGAATATGTTTTTATTGACTTAATTATGTTTTCAACAGGTACTTGACAAGAAAATATGCTCAAGATTGTTAGTGAAACATAATGGGTTTTTAGAGAGGTATACTTGGATTTCGACTAGTAATATTTGGAACAGGTTCTGGTACGCACCAAAAGACCAATGTGATTTTTACGAAGAGTGTGGGGTATCGGGAATTTGTAACGCGAATCTTTCGCCAGTATGCAAATGTCTAGTGGGATACAAGCCTAAAAATCAAGTGGCATGGGATTTAAGAGATGGATCAGATGGATGTGTTAGATATCATGATTTAGAGTGCGAAACTGATGTTTTTAACACATTAAAGAACATGAAATTGCCAGAGACTTCGAGTTCGTTTGTCGATACAACGATGAATTTGGATGAATGTAAAAAAAAGTGTAGGTACAACTGTTCTTGCACGGCGTACTCCACCGCGAATATTACTGGGGCTGGTTCTGGTTGTGTGATTTGGACAACTGAACTTGTTGACATGAGGCAGTATTCAGCGGCAGAAGGTGGCCAAGTTCTCTACGTTAGAGTTGCTTCTTCTGACGCAGGTATGTTTTCATTTATTATGTTTTAGTCCAAATAAGTCGGAATCGGCTATATTTGGATATTTTTACATATGTGCATTAATTTGTGTTGCATGATTTTAGGAATAGTTTGGACTGTCTTCAATTCTTGACACAGTTGGAGCGAGTTGAGTCGACTCAATTTGCCGAAGTGGTTGGGTGTTGGTAGAGATCGATATGAAATTTTTATTTATTTGTTAGGTTGGACTTATATTATAAAGTAAAAAATAATAATTATAAATATGATAGGATACAGAATTATAACTCTATACGAATTAGGTCTTGGCGTATTATTCCACTCTAACTTCTTGTCGAATTTTAAACCATATCTATTGAAGAGAGTTTAATACCTGTGAAGAGAATAGGTATACTTCTTTTATCTCAAATTATCTGTCGTGATTTTCAAAAATAATTATTTTAAATTATTTGTTATTTTAGAGGTTTAGGACAAAATTAATAGCTTTTCTCTCATTTACCTCTTAATAGTAATGGTTTTTGAAGATGTGGATACCACATAAATAAAACAAATATTCAATGAAGAGAGATTGTAATTTAAGACATAAATAAGAGTAAAATACTCAAAAATTTCTTTTAATTAATATTTTCTTGTTAATAGTTTTTAGCTGACCCATATAACCTCTTTTATTTTTCTCAATTATTACCTGCTTTGGGGAGTTGTAAGAATTTTGTTCTTTGAAAAAAGACACCTCGTTTAACTTGGTTTTTTTTAATCTTAATAATGAGAGTTATATTTAATAGAAAAGTAGTTGCCTAGTTGGTATGTATGTACTACACTTTGGAAAACCAAGAAGCTAGTACATAGATCATTATAGAAATAAATTATTGATTGAGTTCATTAACTCCTGACAAAAACTTGAAAACAATAAGTTTTCAAAGTTATTTTCTTGCTATATATATATAATTATATATCGAGAGAGAGACATATTCTTTGTGGTAGGCACGTTTTTCACTTATATAAATTTCCTTTTTCTTATTTAAAAAATTCAGTATGCGTTGTGCATTGAAAAAGAAACGAATCTTAACCTAAACATATGAAATATTAATTGAAATTAGGCCCTAAAGTCCCCATCTCCAAATCAATCAGAAAGGTGACTTATATGGTTTACGACTGTTAAAGAGTTTGTTTTTCTCCTTTGATTAGATTGGAATTGTTACGTAGAAATTAATGCACCCATTTCAAGACTCTAGAAATATTCGCCACTCGTTTTCAACGAAATGAAAAATCTACTAAATCCAAGTTTTCTTTTCTTCGTCACTATGTGTACCAATAATGTAAAGAATTATTACACTATTAGTGCAATTTTAATCGATTATAATAATTTTATTATTTTATTTTCTAGGTTATTGTATTAGATATACTATATATGAAGAAATTAACTAATTTAACAATTTTTGTAATTTTAACTAAACCTGATAATATAAAAAATCCATGCACCTACATAAAATCTTTATCTCTTCCCGCTAAAATCATTATGTGAATTTTTATTTTATTTTTTGATTATTTCCCTTGTTATTTTGCATAGAAGACAAAGAGAATTCATAACAATAATAATAGACACGTCGTAAAGATCAAGATATTCTTTAAAAAGGTGTAAGAAGAAGAAAATATTTACATGACTTTATGTTATTACGTTTTTCCTGTATTGAAAACATTTATATGACATTATGTTGTTACGTTTTTGCTGTACTGTGTCATAGATTTTCGCTTTATTTTTTCAAATTTTTTTTTATTTGTTTATGAAAAGAAACGAATCTTAACTCAAACATGAACAAAGCACTCAATTAAGTCCCCATCTCCAAATCAATCAGAAAGGTGACTTATTATATGAAAATTTTATTTTGTGTCCCATACAACTGACACTAGTTGTATGGGATAACTTTTTTGTCTCACAGTTTTGTGGACCTAAATTTCTGTGGACCCAGAAGTATAAGATTGGAATCCACAAATTTGTGAGACAAAAAGGAACATCATACAAATAGTGTAAGTTATAGAAGACACAAAATAAAACTCTTCGGTCAAAGACTGTTAAAGAGTTTGTTTTTCTCCTTTGATGGGATTGGAATCGTTATTTACTTAAAAAATAACGATTTTTCATTGATTTACTAAATCTTCTTTGAAAATCCAAGTTTCTCTTTTTTGCCGTTATGTGCACCAATAATGTAAAGAACAGTAATACTATTAGCGCAACTTTAATCTGTTATAACAATTTATTATTGTTGTTGCAACTCAACTAAACCTGTAAAAATCCATGTACCTACGTAAATCTTTTTACTCTTTCGGCTAAAGATTATTATGTAAAAGCTTGCCTTTTGGGCTAAGTTTTTTTTTTTTTCCTTTTTAAAAAAAGATTATTTCCCTTGTTATTTTGCATAGAAGACAGAGAATTCATAACAACAATAATAGACACATCGTAAAGATCAAGATATTCTTTAAAGGTGTAAGAAAAAGAAAATATTTACATGACATTAGGTTATTACTCCTTCCATTCACTTTTATTTGTCCACTATACTAAATCAAGAGACAAATATTTTTTTTCTTATTTTACCCTTATCATTAACTATTTATTTCTCAAATTATTCCCAAGACTTATAGAAAGACTGTCATTATTATGGGTAAAATTGTAAAATAAAACGGGAAAATTACACCTTCATAGTCATTTAAAATGTTGAAATTAAGAAAGTATTTTTTTTAGATCTCTTATGTGTAAAACAAAATCTCTTATGAGTAAAAGTAAATCTTTCATATATAAAAAAAAGAGATAAAAGATCATGAAACTAAAAATAAATTTGTAAAAACCTATGAAATTAATTGACTGCACAAAAAAATATGGCAGTCAAAATAGTTATTTTTTATATATTAATATATTATATACAAAAAATACACATATTTCACACATAATTAGTATATTAATTATATATTACTAATTAATATAATTACTTTTGATTGGCCGGTTAAATGTGTAGTTGGCCTTAAATAAAAGATGGTGGGAAAGGGGCTTAAAATATGGTCATAAAGTGATCGAAGCGTGCGTTAGCTTTTTTATTTTGTACTGTCAACGCGAATGGTTGCGTAACAAAATGAATATTTTATTCGTTTTTGTTTTTTTGCTGCTATATTTTCTTGAGGATATCATGTCTTTGTCTTCTTTTTATTTATTTATTTTTTCAAATTTGACAATGATGGAGAAACTAAAATTAGTGGGTATTTGAGTTCTTAAAATAGTGCCAACTTGGTCCTAAAAAATTAGGTAAGGTTCACAAAAAAGATTCTGCTCAAGACAGATAAAAAGCAATTTCCTGGACTGTATACCTACACCTTCTACATTGCAAAAAAAGTCATATGGCCGATTATTCTGACTGCAATTAATTTCAAATACATAATATGACCTACTACAGTCATACCTCTCTATAACAGCATCCTTATATAATATCACTTAACTATAAAGCCAAACTTTTTCGGAACCACTTTTCATATTACGTTATAAGATATGTTCTCGATAACAACACTTCGTTATAGCATTCAAAAATATTCGGAACAAACGAGGCTATTATAGAGAGGTTTAATTGTACTACTATTTTTCATAATTAACCATTTATATAAATGTAAATAAGAGAAACTGCTTTTGCCTAGGAATTTTTCCCCACTTATGAACCTGCAAAATAACATAGAAGACCTAATATGCACCCAGTGGCCAAGAAAGTACAACAGCAAGAAGTCAACAACATTATTATTATGCCTAAGTTCTATATGAATCTTCATTGTCCATGTTCCTTCATTTAAACTCGTATAAAAAAGATTAGTTTATCGAATACTAGAGTTCTCTACATTTTCTACTGGCATAAATATCACTCCTAAAGAAAATGTTAAGGTAAAGTATGTCCAGTCTGAAAATTATGCAAGCAAATTGGAAACATAAAACTTTATTTGAAAATTGAAATGAAGAAACATTTGTATTGGAGCATTTTCCCCCCATCTGGCTTGAAGCTTCTACTACTACTACTACAAACAAAACAAAAAAAAAATAAAATGAATTAGCTACACTCTTCGTCGCTAATCTGTCCCTAAATCACTACTCGTCGCTACAAACTTGATAATCTTTCGCTAAATGGGATTAGTGACAGATTTTTCTGTTTAGCTACAGAATTTGTCCGTTGCTAATTCCTGTTTTGTTAGTAGTATTCAGTTTTTGTTCCTTCAAAAGTTTCCATTCAGCTTTAGAATTTCGTAGAACTGATCATATAACTACTGTAGTATAGTCAAACTTCATGATGCAGAGGAAAATCTATTAGTATATCATAGTTGTTCAAGCAGAATAACAATAATTGTGTTCAATTAAAAAAAACAATTCATTTTGAAATTCTTGTATTTCAGCACAAAGTGGAAGTGTGGGATCAGGAGATGGTTCTGGCAAGACGAAGCGAATCGCTATGGCTACTGGAATCACAGCTGGTGTTGTTCTTTTGCTAGTTGGAGTAGTAACCATTCGGTTATTATCAAAAAGAAGGAAATTACAAGGTCCAATATTAAGAAAGAAGACAGAACAAGGAGGTACTAAGGGAAATTAAACTACTTCATAATTAACCAGAAATTGTCTTTTTTATGAAAGGTTTTATTGTCTAATGCATATTTCTTGCTATTTAACCAGGCTCTAATCAAAGAAGTCAAGATCTTCTAGTGAATACAGCTATTATTCCAAGTAAAAGAGAGATTTCTAGTGAAACTTCCGCGGACGAATGTGAATTGCCATTATTTGATCTCAGTGCCTTAGCTGTGGCTACAGAAGATTTTTCTGATGCAAATAAGTTAGGCCAGGGCGGTTTTGGTTGCGTTTACAAGGTAACACTTAGCCAAATGTGAAAAAACCCATGTTGCTCAAATCCTGAAAAAATGTCGCAGCACACGTATCCGATCCTTCGAAAACGCATTATTTATGGAGGATCTGATATGGGTGCGGCCACATTTTTAGCGGATCCAAGCAGTGAAATGTGAAAAAACCTATATTTCTCAGATCCTCCAAAAATGCCGTCATACCTGTGTCGGATCCTCTGACACCGGTGGTTGGTGCATGACATTTTTAGAGGAGTCGAGCAATATAGGATAAAAACTAGTCCATTTATGGTAAAATGTGAAGGTACTCAATGAAAGAACTTATTTAATCAGGGAATAATAGATGAAGGTCAAGAAATAGCAGTGAAAAGGCTCTCAAAGAATTCAGGCCAAGGAGTAGAGGAATTTAAGAACGAACTACGATTGATCGCTAGACTTCAACACAGAAATCTAGTTCGGCTTCTTGGCTGCTGCGTTGAGATGGAAGAGAAGATGTTGATATACGAATACATGGAAAATAAAAGCTTGGATTCAATCTTATTCAGTAAGTCCTTTTTGGTTACATACTTCCTTATGAGTTTGCCGACTCCAACTTGCTTGGGACTGAGGTGTAGTTGTTGTTATCGTTGTTTACTTTTTTATGAGATTGTTTATATGCTCTTGGACTTAAAACTAATATATGTATCTCAGATAAGCAGAAAAGCTTGTTGCTTGATTGGCAACGGCGATTCAACATTATTTGTGGCATCGCGCGAGGGCTTTTATATCTTCATCAAGATTCAAGATTTCGGATTATACACAGAGACCTTAAAGCAAGCAACATTCTTCTTGACAAGGAAATGAACCCCAAAATATCAGATTTTGGTATGGCAAGAATTTTTGGAGGCGACGAGACTGAAGGAAATACAAAGAGAGTAGTCGGAACCTAGTAAGCAACATCACAATAATTCCTTCAAATCATTCATAGAACACTTGAAAATTTCTCTAAATCCAATTTTCTTTTAATGCAGTGGTTACATGTCTCCTGAATATGCGATGGACGGTCTCTTCTCTGTTAAATCGGATGTCTTCAGCTTCGGTGTTTTAGTGTTAGAAATAGTAACAGGGAAGAAGAACAGGGGATTTTATTATCAAAACAACCAAAGAAACCTTCTTGGCCATGTAAGTATATCAGCTACGAGTTCATTTGAATCCATAACTTTCCACATTGAGTATTGATACATATGTAAAAACCTAATAAAATCTCAATAAACATTAAATCTGAGCCTGTAACTGTAACGATACAATGAGTTTAATGCTGAAAATCTTAAACGTTGAACCTATAAATTTAATTCTTGGCTCCATCTCCGACTACAGGCATGGAGATTATGGAGAGAAGGAACAGCTTCAGAACTACTTGATACAGCGGTTGGAGAATCATTTTCTCCATGCGAAGTAATGAGATGTATACAAGTCGGGCTATTGTGTGTTCAGGAGCAAGCAGAAGATAGACCGAATATGGCAACCGTTGTCTTGATGTTAGGGAGTGAAAGCGCAACATTACCTCAACCTAAGCACCCTGGTTTTTGCCTGGGGAGAAGACCGGTTGATGAACACTCGGAAACTATTTACGAAGAAACTTGCACTGTGAATCAAGTTACAGTTACCATGCTTGATGCACGGTAGTTAAAGGTACGGACAGACTGGCTGGCGTACTTCTACGTAATAGAATAGAAATTCAAGGCAAATTCCCCTGATGGGAGTGAACATAAGGATTACTCGACGAACATAAGCAAAATTGTATAGTACATAAATACTATAAGAGGTTTACAATTTTCTCTTGTATGCTTACCTTCTTTCTTCTTTTAAAGAATGTTTTCTTTTTTTGGGATCTAACATAAATAGCTTTTTTCTCTCATTTCATGAAATGGTGATGTTGTGATATAGTTGTGTTATTTTTAGTACTAATGTAACAATTGCATAGTTAATTTTCCATATAGCTGAAGTTCATTGTAAATTAGTTGTATTATTCACTGAAGTGGTTCAATGAGATTAATTTGTGCTTTCTTCTTCTTTCAATGGATCTTCTTGGTATTGCATTTATAATAATGTACATAACCTTGATTATATATATAAACTAGATTGCAATGTCTCCTTTTGCTAATATTTCTTGATCATAGATTTCAGAGCTAATATTCTATTCTGTCAATATTGAGCTTTGACAGGTTACACTTAAGTCAAGCCAGGCTTGAAAGCAATATGTATAATCAAATACAGTCAAGAGAGGTTCACAACAAAAGGATTGATCAAGACTGAACGATAGTATTCACCCTAATAGAATGAGGGATGTATCTAATCTAGAACCGGATGGACCAAAAGCCTTGAGTGGCGTCAAGTCAAGGGTATATATATGTTTTTGAATAGTAAGACGGTAGGGGTTCATCTGATCCAATAGTATAACAGAAGTAATTCTAAACAATTTATAACAGTAGAGATGTAAATCAGACTCTTTTTCGAATAAAATAATATACATACATACAATAGATCGACATCATTTGATATAATACAAATCAAATATCAATTTATGACATGAGTAAAACCTTTAAAGAGCCATATATATCCAAGATCTAATCTCGCTTATAGCCAAATAATGACAACAGAACAATACCGTTTATTCAAAATCTTGCATACACCATTATCCCTAGGAAAGTTTGCATAATACAACACACTAAAAAAAATGCATAGAAATACATTATGGACATCTCCAAAAGAAATGGTGAATTTTATTAACAGGCCGTTGGGAAGATCGAAGGAGAAACCACATTAATATTGATGGTATTGGGTGTGCGAACCAAGTTCTACATTTGTAGCTAAAAAGATTGGAGACTACATATAAGGTATACAGATCTCTTAATGGTGTGAGACTTTTTAGGAAAAATCATGCGGGTTTGAACGAACAATATCAAACTATGTTAAGATCTAGTATTTTGGAGTTGGTTTAGCCCAACAACTAGTATCAAAACCCAGATTCAATAAAACGAGTATTACAATGGCAGATAAATATTATTACGATATGGGTGGCACACAGTGATTCTCGAAAATTGACTTAAATCTTTGTTTGAAGGCTTGATAACTGAAAAGAGTGGGAGATTACATATAACGTGTAGAAATCTCTTAATGGTGTGCGATCTTTTTGAGAAAACCCTGTAGAATTGGCAAAAAATATTACACTACGTTAAGAGTATCTTTGGGCGATTTAACCGAAGTGATAGTTATCCTTAGGAACTTGCCTCACTCTTCGGTAACACGAACTTTTTCATCCACACTCGATTGCTTGGATAAAAATGGTCAGACAAAACTGAACTTTCCATTCACATGTTTCCTAAATACATTCATGAGATATATAGGTCCCTTTCATGGAATCCTCCTCCTTCATGTGAAATTTATTTGTTTAGAAATAACGATTGTAGAAACAAAAGACCACATTGAATTAAATGTTAGTGTTGGTTTATAAGGAGCGATTATTAAATGGATGAAGTGAAAAAGAAAGAAAGAATCAGTACAAAATTTAACTCCAAGAAAAAAGTTGATAAAACAACAGATATGTTAATTTCACGTAGGATGGCAATTTAAGCGCAAACTCATCCAACCCGTCCAATTCGCCTAGAGATTAATGGGTTGGGCTACAAACATTTTAGCACATGGGTCAATTTGGGCTGAGCCCAAGTTGACTTATTTTTTTTATAGCTCCTTCTGACCTATTAAGCAGCCCAAATACAACCTATAAAATTCACCTAAAACAAAAAGATCTCAACACAACTTATCTAAAATTTACTTAGTTAGCCTAATTTAACTTCTTTTTTTGTATTTGTAATTTTCTGCTCTTTGTTTTCCCGCACTCTCCCCGCTCCCCGGAAATACTCCCTCAAAAGAAAATTTACTCTTTTTTTGTGTTTTCAGTTTTCTATTATTTTTATTTTTCTATACCACTCACC